AAAAAAAATGACAAGTTGAAATTTGAAAAGAGAAATGCAATAAAAAAGTTAAAAAAAAAAGATAATAAAAAATAATGACCAAATTTGATGAAAAAAATAAATTAAAATCAAATAATAAATGATGAAATTAAAAATAAATTTCAAATAGCAAAAGTGTTAAAAAATCAAAAGAATAAGATCAAAATTAAATATAAAAATCAAATTCGATCAAATGACCAAGATAAAGTTGAAGGAAAAAAAATAAAATAAAAAAGATAAAAAAGAAATTAAAACAAAACAAATAAGAGTTAAAAGATGGAGATCCAAATTGAATTTAAAAAACAAATAAGAGGACACCATCATACTTTGATAAGGAGAGGAGAGAGAAAAGAAGGAGAAGAAAAGAAAAGATAATTGAAGCTCAACTATCACATTGTCTCGCACACGTGTTGTACTGTTAGGAAAAAGATGTTGATGCATTTTCAAAGTTAACATAGAATGTTATATTTGATATTTGAACGTCGTTGTATACATCGCCTGAAAGGTACAGAAAATGTCCACTCGTGGTTGCATGGTTGTCATGTATTATCAACTTTTTGTTTTTATTTTTAATAGTTTACATTACTGAAAAATAAAAATTATCTTGAGACCATCTAAAAATAACAAAAAGAAAGAAAGAAATAAAGATGAAAAAGTTGTTGCAAGGAAATTTTAAAATGATTTGATTCCAATGTCACTATAAGTTTATTATGTTCATTAAAAGAAAATTACCACAAAGCCCATAGACAAGAAGTTTATTTTTAAAAAAAAATGTTATTTTAGTAATTTTACTATTCAAATAAAAAGAAAAAAAAATCTCTATGCCCCCAGGATCATAATAACTCATATGCTAACATTTATGTTTGCATGGAGAAAGGCAAAATACGAAAAATACAATCCAAATGTTTTTGTCATAGCAATATTTTTTTTATTTTTAAAAATTTATTTTTAATAACAACATTTCAAAAAAATAAAAATAAAAAACATTAAAAAATCAATTTAAAACAACAAGAAGAAGCAACCTTCCCTTGGAAAATGCCTTAACCAATAAGGAAATCGTGAAAGCCCGCAAGCAGATATGCGAATTCGCATTTCCTTTTGTCTCCTTGCCTTCTCTATCAAGCAAATCGTGAAAGAAGCAGCATGCGAATCCGCATTTCTTTTGGCTCCTTGTGAGCCAAATGGCATCAAAGATTCTTCTATATGCAGAAAAACGAGCACAAGGTCGGCTTCTTTAACTTTAAACTGCAACAATGGCCTTGAAACGGTGGCATATCCCCCCCTAGCTCTATCGCCTATGCCATGTTTGTTTAATTAATTAGATTTCCCTCGAAAGAAGGTATACATGCCATTGCCTGTACTGTGGAGTACATGCAGGCCGTATATACCAGTACCACCCATGCTTTCTAAAAGAAGGTTTCTGATATTTGTCAATGGCCAAGAAAGCTTCATCCCCAGTTGTTCTTCTCTTTATGATCTGTGTAAGACCATGTGCTCAGGCACTTTAGGTTTTTTCCTTCTTTGTTTAAGCATTAAGGTTCCAATTTAGGGCAGAATCTCTGCTTTACCAAACCTTGTTAGGTTTGATTCGGGAAAGAGCTAAGATATTGAATGTTCAAGCAACTTGTAGGATTTAGGACAGCGTCCGTATTATGCCTAACAAAACATTAGAATTTTATTATAATAACAACACGCACTTTGACACATTCTGTGATACTACACCACAAGGTAAAGTGTTTGTATACTCCTTGCTCACGCCGCTTAATATCTTTCTTTGTCGCACGCACGCACTTGTACATTTAGATTTTTCTATCTTTCACTCATCCATGAAGGCAGAGATTCGTATTAATAATAATAATTTTTGTTTTGTTTTTATTTTTATTTTCTTCAATTTAACATTCAAACAATCTATTTTTATTGTTCAATGTTTTTTTCAACTTCTTCTTTTAGTACCAGCTTGTTTTAAAAATTATATTTTATAATTTATTTTTTATTTATCTTTTCATTGGATTATTTATTAACAAAATACTAAAAGGTATAGCTAAATCACTATAACCATGATCATAACAAAAATATTAATTAGAATGATATTTTATGTTGTTTTTAGCTTTTTAATTTTTATGATATTATGTTTTTCTTTTTTATTTTGATTTTTTTCTTGATTTTTTTATAAAAGTTATTATTTTTTTTATTTTCACCATTTAATTACAACATTATTTTTTATTTTTATATCAATTATAATCCTCATTCTTTTTAATTTTCTTACTCTTTTACTTAATTGATTTTTTTTCAATCTTACTCTTTAATTAAAAATAAATTTTATTTTAATTTTGACTCTTATTATTTTAATTGTTATTTTTTAAAATCTTCTTATATAATTGAAACTCTTTAGTTGATTTTATTTTTTAATATTTAATTAATTATGAATTAGATTTCACTATTTTTCTAGATTTAATGTTTTAATTCTAATGACTCAAGTTATAAATTTGAAAAATTAACATATATTTTTTTTTAAATATAACTCTTTTTATTTTTTTAATCAGGTTATTCTAATTACATAATTTAAATTATTTATTTAGTAGAATATCTCAAGTTAACTTAAATCTAACTAGCATGCTTATAAATTTATCATACCTAATTTTTTATGCCTTTTTTAATGTAACTTCACTATCTATCTAAACATTATTATTTACAAAAAAAAAAAAAAAATTCCAAACCGACAACCTAGCTGAGTCACCAAGGTTAGTATGTGCATAAATCGCCATATGCTCTATTAATATTGATTGAATAAAAGCTACTTTTACATGCTCCATTTGTACCTCGTGTCCACTAATTGTTGATAGATACATCGTTTAGGCATGCAATGTTCTTGATCTCTTTTAAATTAAAACAGGAAAACATGTAAAGGAAAGCAAACCAATGGCCTTAAAATACATTGAGATTCTATTGCACAGATGGGCCATTCCCTCCTTTTCTCTCTCACTTAAACATACAAAAACTCAAATCTTGGATGATTTGAATCCTCTGGGTGAAATCAGGAGATATAATTACCTTTAGCAAAAGCATGCCTGTCCTTTCAATCTTTACACATCCGCAAAAAAAAAAAAAAAAAAAAAGGGGAACTCTATAGCATGTGCCCTCGAGGAAAAACTAAAGGTTGGCAACATCTTCTTTGGAGTTTCAAAGAATGGAACATCTGTCTAGAGAAAACCAATAATGCTTAGTTACCTCACCGAAAGCAATTGCAAAAATAGCTCCTCTAGATGCATCTAAAGGGTTCTTGGAGCTTTTTTCTACCTAATAAAGGTAATTGAATGGCTGAACTTTGAGATAAGATGGCACACTTGTTTGCTTAAAAAATGTTTGCTTGATACACCGCACGCATTCACCCAATATAACAATTGTTTAACCATCATCAATCACTGGCTGGCTTGTAGGTATCTTGGGAAGGTGTTTTCTTTTTGCTGCAAGATATCAGTACAAGTAGACAGGTCGATGGCGATCCCCAATACCTCAATACTGCTGTTGCTAAGCAAAAAGAAAATTCACATTAGACACAAGGAGTTAAATATGTTAAAATCTTCGATTAAAGTAATTGTTCCCCCTTTTTTGCTCAACTTTTTCTACTTTCAACATGTAAATCTGTAGAGGATACGTTCATTATTCAACTAAGCTTAGAATACCAATAATAAAGTTATCTTAAAACGAGAGATCGACGTATATTATACTTATTTCTAAATCTATTGTGGATCTTAGCAATTTTACCAAGACCAAGCATGCAATTCTTTTGCACTGTTCAATGGTCGAGAAGCTAGAGAAGCGTGTGCGCGCAAGAGGCTGCTAGAGTATTGCAATTTGTTTATCAGCAGACAAAAACAAGCTGTTGCTAGCTAGCCAGCAGCCAATATCTTGCTTGTGTATTTTCAAGTTTATTTTACATGAAATTAAAATGAAGATGCATAAACAGAGAGCACATTTCTTGATATCCTATAGCTGTTATCCAAAAAGCAGTACCCACCCTCTATTTCTATGCCCTAGAACCACTATAATGGGTTTGCATATGATATCTATACTACAAGTCATGTAACACAAACCAAGTCTTTAATTTCATTAAGTAAGCTTATTTGTTGTGTGTGGATGTCTAGGCGTTCTGATTATATCCATAAAAGCCTCTATTCTGCCAATAACTTTTGAAAGTACCCCACTTCCCAGGAACTATACCAGCTTCCCTTTTTCGTTCCACTCAACGACGTGCTTTCTATCGGTAGAATTATGCAAGGAAAAGCTTAGCAACTGCTTTAAGAACCCCACACTTCTCTTCCAGGGAAGAAACAAATCCGATGCTTTTATCAGTGGAGTTCCTGAAATTAATATGCTTGGTATTACTCTCTCAAAATTCTGAAAAATAAAAATTCCATGGTTCCCAGCACTATGAGGCCTCACCATGACTATGCACGTAGTTATTGAAGCAAATCTCCTAAGACAACAAGAGAAGCATCTAATCAGTTTAATTTTTCCTCTTTCACTTTGTTAATCTTAAGGTACCCTGCGCTTCCTTGATCCTAAGCAATCATTCTTGGTTTTCTATTTCTGATATTCATGAAACATTAAGCGCGCGCTTCCCCTATCCCTCCAAATCAAAACCACTAAGCTAAAGTTTGTCAGTTGATGCCGGGCAAAAAAAACTATGTAAGGAGACATTCACTCTTTCATGTAAATAGCAAGAAAAGGAGAATGCTTACAGATTACCTTAATAATTATTCAGATAGTTTGTTACTATATTAATCGACATAACATCAACTACAGGAAAGCAGGTAGCCAAAGGAGAAAAGTAGCCAATAAGCACTAATCAATCTTCCATAGCTTTTCATAAAGTCATATAACCATTCCGAAGTAAAGTAGAGTAGCATGTGTTAGTTTTACCAAATTAACCTCCTTTTGCCCTTCTATATAATTCCATGTTTACAATGCCTTATGTCCAGTCAAATGGCAGTTCTCTCAAATGGTCTTTTTAAGATTTGCCTCTGAATTATTTCCCAGAGTTGTTTCTATTCCTTTCCTAAAGGATAGAGTGAGATTCTAAACTTATCTTAAAGCCCCAGCCAACCCCTCTTCTATACAAAATCAAGAAATGGATCTCATTAAGCTGAGAGAGATTCATGCGATTAACAAGTCCAAGAAGCATCAACTTCTTGACAATTTTTTCCTGTATTCTTTGACTGTCTTGGCCTGTACTCTTTTCTGTTCTAGCCCTTTCTGGTTTCCCTCCCTATTTCATTCCATGAAGCTCTTTCTCTTCGTCTCTCTTCCAAAACTAAGTTCTATTTTACTCAGCCCCAAGTTTATTTTCATTGTTGGCAACCTCATAATCTTTGTCCTTGTTGGAGAGTCCAAGTACTTTACTTCGAACTCTCCATCAGCGACTGATGTTTACTATGATGAGTACATTGACCAGAAAAAGAGCCTTCAAACAACTTCAGCTAGCGTGGAAGAGAAAAAGGAGGTAAAAGTGGAGGAATCTTTCAAAGAAAAACAAAGCAAAACTTGCGAAAGCGGAGAAAACAATGGAGGGAAAGGATTGTGTGAGGGAAACTTGAAAGCACACAAGGAACGCAAGGATTTAGAAGGAGAAGAAGAGTTCAGTTTGCCGACAGAGGAATTGAGAAAAAGGGCTGATGATTTCATTGCAAGAGTCAACAGACAAAGGATGCTTGAAGCTAGGCTATTAGTTTGCTATAGTTAATAAAACCAAGTAAATTAGTGGCATGAACTAGCTAGTAGTTTGGTTTTAGTGGATTAAATCTGGGTGAGTTTAAACTAATAGATGGTCCTGTACATGACCCTCAATTGAACAAGAATCTTAGCTCGAAGTGAAGATTCCTCAATGTAATTATCCTAGTACATAAATACCATGTAAAATTCATGGTTTCGGACAACATAGTATTTATCCTAGTACATAAATGCAGTCTATCCTTTCACCATTAAATGAGCTTGCTTCTAACAAACTTTGAAACGAATACCAACAAGTAATCCATGGGAAACGGATTGGATCACTTGATGCTGCAAATGTTGAACACTTGAACCAGATTTCACAGAATCCCAACATGTATAATCATCCCTGAAATATTTTCATGAATGGACTACTCAAAATATCCTATCTTCCGTCTATGCCTTCCACCAGAATCAAAAGATTATGCGCTGATCGTCATGTGCTAAAAAAACCCATGATTGAACTTAGCTGAAAATTTATGTAACTGAAGTAATTCACTTGATTCAATCTTTAAAAGGGCAGGTTTTTTCCCCATTTTCTCGTTGGTTGTTAAGGTAGCAAGGATGAACTCTGTCTCTGAGTTCTACCCTGAATAAAGTCTCAGATGGTCTTAATTTCCTGATCAGGACTATTCCAGACAGGTTGTTTTGCAAAAGAGAGTGGTGCAAGGTGACTAAATATCAATTCTATGGCAAGTATTTCTATGGCCCAATTACTGATGGGAATGGAAAAAAATTATAAAGTAACAGGTTTATCATTATTACAAGACAGGGAGATTTTTTTTATGGCCCAGCCCAAGATGAATGATGATTTTGAACAAAATTATAAAAATGTTTTTTTAAAATATTTAAGAATGTTTTTTATTAATTTTTATGTCTATCTAACAAGTAGTATCCTGAATAATCTTCATTTTATATATGAGATCTTTTGTTAAGGGGAAGCAATTATTATTTGATTAATCATGATTATAAATATATTTTACTTATTTTAAAAGTTCTTTTAAATTAAATGAGGGCTTGAACATTGTCCATGATAGCCATTAAAGAAGAAGAAAATTGGACCTTGGTCAATCAGGGCAACCAGGTCAGTTACTGTCTATTGGTGAATAAACCCTCTGATTTCCTTTCGTTCAGAGCCACAAAGAGGATTCACTGTTCAATTTCTCTGTTCTTCAGAGAGACGACTCGTCATCCAACCCATCCAAAGGGTTAATTACAAGCGTCATACCTGTACCATGATAGTTTGATTAACTTAAGTTCTTAACCTTAATCGCTATATTATAAATAAAGATTGTTGTCAGATCCACTTCACGTTCTGACATGAAAAAAAGTCTAGGTTGCTGGGCTGTGAACTCACAAGTTATTAGATAAACTTAAATTTATCATTATTTTTTCTGGACTATGTAGTTTTAGCTCTTTTATTAAAATCTTATTGGTGTTAATTCAGTTAATTTTAATCAGATTAAAGCTAAAATTTAGCTGAGTTAATCCAAATTAAATTAGGCATTAAGTGAGTGGTGAGCTTTTAAGATTAACTACCAACCCAGTTTATCACTATGAGGTGTTAACACTGGATTTAGATAGAAGGATCCTCCATCATGACGGTATTAAATAAAACTCAAGCTCAATGTTTGACGGTATTAAATTAGACTTTGATTTGCTCTTCAATTTGCAAAAGAAAAGTGGTTAGAAACATTATATCTTTTTTCCTGAATTATTTAAGAGAAACGTAGTGATTTTAAAATTCCCAAAAAAGGTAAAAGCCACAAATTATCCATCAAGTCACTTAAGAAGATAAATTCATTTAAAATTATAATCTCCTGGTTGTGCGTTGGTTGTGTTCTCCGGTTATCGTCCAGGCAAAAGCAAATAATTTCACAAGTCGACCGGAGGATAGTTCCACCGTTAATACTCACACGTACATTCATACGCCAGGATATACATGCATATACGTACATATATAGACACTCACACACCATAGTTCTTAAATTTTACCGGCTCATCCCAATTTAATCCTAATTTTTTTATATGTAACACAAAATGATTTAAAAAAAAAAGGGTAGTCAATAAGCTTTTTATCCGGTTTTTTTGGGATTAATCAAATTATTAAATTAATTTGAGTTTTTAACGGGTCACTTAAATTTTTATTTATTTTTATTTTTTTTAAATTTCATCTAGTTTTAATTCTGAATTGACTTGTTTAACCAGACTAGTTTTTAAAAATATAGTTTATACTACTGTTAAGATAGTGTGTTTGTGTGAAAGGCAGAAGCAATTTTTAAGGCAAATGGTTGTGTTAGGAATTTATATTATTGATATTTGTCCGTTTCATATATAATTCTAATTTTGGGATAAGCATAGATGATAGGTACTAGATTACCAATTGTATTTGTATTTGTGTTTGGATGATTTTTTTTTGTTTAAATTATTTATACGGTGATGTATTAGTTAATATTTTTTAAAAATATTAAGATAAAAATTTATTAGATTAATTTATAATCGGGATCATGATAACTCTATAAAAACATTAATATAAATTATAAAGATTAATTTCTGATTAACCCAAGGTTAAAACTGAGAAAAAAATATTAAATTAAAAAAACAAAAAAAATACATAAGTCAACTCGAGTTAATCTTCCAAACTCACAACCTAAATCATGAGATTGAGATAATTTCATAAAAAATAAATTAAAAAAAATTACAAAATCTAATTTTCAACCAACCCAATATTAAAGGATGAAATAAACAAAAAAAAACTCAAGTCAACCTAGTGTTAAACTTGCGATCTAAGTTACGAGACCGAAATAACTTTATAAAAAGAAAAGAAAAAACTAATTAAGAAGCTTTATTTCTAACATATCTAGTGTTGAGTGTTGAAATTGAGAAAGAAAGAAAAAACCAAATTCATGAAACCGAGATAAACTCCACATAAAACAAATTAAAAAAAATATAAAGCTTAATTTCTAAACAATTTAATATCAAAAGATGAAATTAAAAAAAAAAAGAATTTAATTGTTGTAGGATGAAACAAAAAAATTCAATAAAAAAATATAAATAAAATCACCATGGATCAACTTGTCAAACTCACAACATTAAGACAAGGATAACTTATAGAAAGCAAATTAAAAACAATTACAAAGTCTAATTAAAAAACTAAAAAAAGTTAATAAAGTCAACTTGGATTATTCAGCAAAACCCGTGATCCGGATCATAAGATCTAGAAAACCCTATAAAATTAAATAAAATAAAAAGTTATAAAATTTAATTTCTAATCAACTCTATGTTGAAAAATAAAATAAAAAAAATAAAAATTTAAATCAATTTAAGTTAATTAATTAACTCATAGCTTGTTTCATAAGATAAAGATAAATTTATGAAAAGAAAATTAAAAAAAATATAAAGCTTTATTTCTCAAAAATATAATGTTGAAATCAAGAAAAAATTAAAATTCTTGAATCCAGAAATTCTTCAAAACCAGCACACTCAACAAAAAAAAAAATTATGAAACATTTTTTATCGTAAGTTTTCCTCGGTGAAAAGGTAATGTAATGATTCAAAAATTCAATTTTTTTATTTTTTATTTTTTATTTTATGATGAAATGAAATTTAATTTTTATTTGAAGGAGCGGTGGTGGAGTCATAAGTGCTTTTGGATTCCAGCACCCTTGTGTGAACTCTTTTGGAGTAGATTCAACCTCAATTATTTAACAGCAAAAGGGAGGTTGGCAAAATAAATAAAAATAGATCAGCCTATTTGTTCTTGAAAGGTATTTAAGGGATCAATAAATACCTTAGAAATGGCATAAATCCTCCAACCAATTACAGGTGCACCTACCTTATAAAAAAAACCTCCATTCAAATGGCTTGCTGAGGTTCAACTTGGACCATCCCTGTCTGCTATCAGGTCAGCAAGGAGCTGATGAATCTGTATTTCAGATTATTAATGATGCTTCATCCTCTCACAGAAAATAAAATAAAAATTATAAATACCAAGAAATATGTATCAATTCCCTATTAAAAAAAAAAAACAAGATTAAAAGTAAAAGAAAAATCACCCCTTACCCCATTAATTATTATTTTCTTTCTAAATCACAATAAATACCTAAAATTAGACTCGAGAAAAGTTTTGACCATGCGAAACCAAAATAGAGGAACCAATGGAAAAAAAATAATAATAGATTTTTAAAGAATAAAATTTAAAAAAAAAACAACAACTAAATAAAAAAAAAACATAAAACACTATTTTAATAAATAGTATTTTGTGGGTACAACTGCCCTGATGTAACAATACAGTTCAGTGTTTCGGCCTTTAGCGTTTTGGTAATAATAATATTTATTTTTTTAAGGGAAATATTGTTATTGTATATTTATGCAGGGCAACCAAGGCCAGGACGAGAAAAAAATGTTGAATTTATTTTTTATCGCTTTTTCCCAAATACAGAGGAACCGATAGAAGAGCGGTTTTCTGCTTCCTGGTATGTGCTCTCTCACTCTTGCACTGTCTCTGTTTTCATTTTGTTTTGTTGTCAGTTCTTATCCAACAGCTATGTCACTATTGGATTATATGTATATGCCATATTAACGATTGTCCATTTAAGTTTAATTTAGGATTTGTTCTTTCGTTCTTTTTTCAATTATTGCGTTGCTCAATTGAACACATTTGCAGGAATGTGGAGCATAAGGGTCAAAGTTCAGATTATAGTTTTATAGGGTATCAAGTATTTGTTTGTCCACACTGTTATTATTTTATATTTTGATCCGGGAATCTCGAGAAACCTGATTTTAGTTCATTGTTAATCACGTTCAACTAATGCAGGAGAACCTTTCAAGCTAAAGTTTTTAAATCGGCAACAACTCTTTTCGAGAATTTGAGCTCAGCAGCACAAGAAATAGAAATTGCTGTGTTTTGGTCTTTTCTCTCCGACCTTAATTACTGAAGCACAGCATGGATTTGATCCACAAAGTCCTGAACATTGTACTTCCTCCTATAACATTGATTCTGCTACTTCTCTTCTTGCCATCCTTTCTTGTTTCCAAGTTTATAAGTCGCATAAAAAGATCAATAAATAGCGAAACGGTGGCAGGAAAAGTAGTTCTAATCACCGGTGCATCCTCAGGCATTGGTGAGGTTGGTATACATCCTCTGCACAGATGTAAATGTCTATGATATT